ACTAGAACGAGAAACAGTACATATACATGAATACTTTATTATTGTGATTTAAATCGGAGCATGACTTAACTGTCATGGCTCGAGTTGTAGCCAGAATTATCTTGAAGGGAGAGCGTGAGTTTGCGTATAGATCTATACTGGATTGACAATCCTACACCTTGCTGCTAGCTACAGCCGGACCTGCAGGTCTGCGAGTGCCAAACGTCATTCCGTTATTACGACCATTCATTATGTCGTTGTTACTTGTCGATAGTATGGTGCAATTTATCACGTAATGCCTTAATATAAATCCGGTTTAAGGTAGTTAGTACAACAGTAGTTCTTATAATACAAGACTACAGTACTACAATGATTTACCCATTACACATTTTTAGTGATAACCTCACTTAAACATTTATGTACAAACTATATTTTGTTAAATGATAGTTACAATTGGGAAATTACACACTTTTACATCAAACGAGCATACAAAACAGTTAAGCCTTGGTAGAAGGCTACTTTAATAGAAAATATAGGTTTTTCTGAGAGATTCAAACTTTTACATACATTTTACAAACTTATACTTGATACATGTTCAAACATTTTTGAATGACAAATACCGACACTAAAATACTTATGAACTCACCAGCTTAATGCTGATAAACTCTTTCAAAATAACTTGTATTCTCAGGTCATCAGTAGACAGGTACCGAGGCTAGCTTTTGAGAAGATGGAGCGCATTCAAGAATCATCTTATTATTTTGATATACGTTATTTTTGGTGTCTATAATGTACAGAACACGCTTGTATTAAAATTATATATTTAATGCAATGGATGATGTTGTTTGCTTATTTACGTTTATTGTGTTGTGATACTTACATGACGTCCTCCGCCCCAGAACGTTTCCGCCGTTCTTGGTTTTGGGGTGTGACAGAAAAGCATATTTGATTAGAAGATCTACTCCCCAAACTTCCATTTACATTAAAAATGGAAACATTGAAAGTATAGTAAGGATTAAAGGAAAAGTCTGAGTTTGTCCCGTGTACCATTCCTAAAGAGTCTATATGTTTCTATTGCCAAGAGAAAGGACATTGGTTGCGAAGCTTACCTGACTACATGAATGATATGAGAAAAGGTAGACTCGAAAAGTTTGACTTTGCTTCAGGTAAGTCTACTGTCTAACTCTATTAAGTTCTTAATTGCTAATCCTTAATACATGATGCGACATGGTTCAATTTTAATATTTTGTGGGATCATGTAGAGAAATGGATGATGAAACAAAAAAGACCTAATGCATAGGGACAAGTTTTGAAAACTCAAACCATGAGTGAATGCTTAAGATCAATGTATGCTTACTAATAAATGTTCAAGTCAAGGCTGGAAAGACCAGTAAACTCTTAGATAATATATTCAACAAATGATCAAGTCATAAATGATGTATGAGAATAAATGATCAAGGTAAAGCTAATAAATGAAGAATAAGAAGAATGTGAAAGAAGTCTTCAATAACAGAGTAAATTCCAATAGTTAAGTAAAAGAATCGTATTTGACTTTGCATTGAAAGCTCCAATAAATAGGAGTGAAGGTTACAACGAATTAACTACAAAGCTTACATAGGACTGGACAATAGAGATGTTTCTGACATTCTGATTGTCTAATATAACAAAAGACTATGTCCTATGAAATGTTACATAAATACAAAGATAAACTTAATAAATGCACAAAGATAAAATATTGTGATTTCGGATCACCATTCATTCCGGACATGAGAGTCATTCCATAATGCCTTCAGCTTCCCATCTTCTTCTCTATTGGTCCAGATAGATTCTTGACCACTCTTCCCCATTGACTCCAGACCATACATTTCGAAGCACTAGTATTTCAGACTTCAGGCTTAGGATTGCTAGAGGTTCACTTTCAGGTTCCAACAATCTCCCCTAAGTGAACTTAGCAATCCGTTCAATTAAATTGCTTCTTCCTTGACGAAAGTGTAAGCTCGAAACAACCATTCTCTGACTTCAATGTACTAGGCCAGTTTACTTACAAACTTTTCTTTGACCTTTTCTGGAGCTTTGGATTTTAATGCATGAGATATGAACTTCCGAAAAATCCGTTCTTGTTTGTCAAGGACATGGAAAAAGCCCTTCTTGTTTGTGATTTTGGTAGTGTAGACAAACCCTGGAACCAGATCATCAATTGGACCATCCTCAAGCAGCTCAGCGTCTAGAAGCACATAAGTGATCTTCGCAACAAAGTCTTCAGTTCCGTAGAGATGAGTGTAACAAATCGTTATTTCCAACCTATGTAATAGTATAGGTCAATCTGTAGTTCTTTTTAAAATAATAAAGAGAAATTTTAGCATACTATGTACATTTACATAACTCACCCTCAAAAATAAAGTAGTAAACAATCTCGATTGGGATGAACAAAGTGACATAGATTGTAACAAGGTTTCCAAAAAGATAAAGAACAAAAAAATCTAAGTTATAACGTAGAAGTTATGACCAATCAAAAATCTGCGATAAAACTGGCAAAACACTGTTCAGTGTAAAAAGTGAAGTTTCAATAAAAGGCTTTTTAGTGTTAATAATCTAAAAGAAAGTTGTAGAATATGCTACACTGAGAAATTTCATAAAAAAACGTCGAAAGCTGACTTCGTATGAGGAACTTATGATTTTTCTAAGTTTCAGTATAGCAGTATACAGCTAAAAACACGAAATAAATATCGAATAATTTTTACCCAAGACAACCTAAACGAGAATTGAAGGTCTTGTCAATAGTAGTACAGTGGTAAGAAGACTGACAGAAACGAACATCGGATGAAGAACGTATGAATTTTTAACGAATTTTCCTGTCTTAGTATGTTAAAAATAATAATATTAAAAATAAATTCAAAATTAGCCGACGAAGTCTAAACGAAAGTTGTAGGTTATATTCCCGCCTACGCATGCATATAAATAATGTCAAAAGCGGAGTTCGTATGCGAAAGTTATGAATTTTGGAAGATTTAGGCCCAAAAACCGAGAAAAAATGGATAATACCTAGGTATCTCGCATAAACAGTAACCGCCACACCCAGGTCCGACACGCGTCGCCTTCTGATTCGACCGAAGTCGCGGTCCAGTGCGCGTCCGACGCGACTCGCCTCCGTGTCTCGCACCCGAACATCAGCCTCGTGGCCTTCGCTATTGATGACTCGTGTCCAGTGACTCACCGCTTCGGCCAAACCCTCGCACCCTATATAAGGGCTGCGAAATTTCTCGAATTTAACACATTTCTTTCACCGTTTTCCATCCTTTTTCACCCCTTTCACTTCCACAAACTTACATACGACCCCCAAAGCCCCACTATCATATCTAAAATCCTAAGCAAGCCTTGAGGCCCCGAGATTCCCGAGAAAAACAACCTTCTCCAGTCAAAACTCTATCCAATTAAATCCGGTTTTTAACCAAATAAACTCCTTTCCAGAAAACAAAACACTATCCAAATGATTACAAGTGAGTCCATACACCCGTACTTTTTTAATTTGTACTGTTTTAAGGAGGGATGGGGGGGGGAGGGAATATAAGTCTAACACAAGAAATTTTGTGTTACAAACAAATGATTACAAATTATGATAAAATGATATTAAGTCATAAAAAATACTTCAAAATATTAAAGTCTTATATAAACTTATATTTTTCCCCAAAATTCATATATATATATATATATATATATATATATATATATATATATATATATATATATATATATATATATATATATATATATATATATATATATATATATATATCAAGGTTCTAAAAAGCTCTTCATGGCTCCGCCATGGAATGCCATGACTCCAAGGCTTGCATGTACCGCCAAGCTTTGCCAAAACGCCGCCTTGACCCATATATTTGTATAAAAATGAATAATAGTAGAAAATACATATAAACTATGAATTATATACAAAATTGCCGCCTTAAGTCACGCCTTACAAACGACGTGACTCGCCAAGACTCGGAAAAGCTTGAGGCTTGACATTGCCGCCAAGTCAGGCCTTACGTTATTTAAAACCTTGATATATATAAATATATATATATATATATATATATATATATATATATATATATATATATATATATGACAAAACTTTAAAAATGATCCTTGTGGTTTCCGAAAATATCAAGTTTAGTCCCTAAGTTCAAAAAACCTCACAGATCGTCCCTGTGGTTTCAAAACTTTTAGCGTTTGGTCCTTCTGGCTCACTCCGTTAAATTTCCGTAGTTAAGTAAAGGGCATTTTTGTCTGTTCACTACCACAAGGACTATTTATGAAGTTTTGCCTTATTTATAAGAAAAATATTTAATATTAAATGTCTCTCTCTCTCTCTCTCTCTCTCTCTCTCTCTTTGTCGTGTTCTTTTCCGTCTCACGAACATCAAAAGGAAACCAAATATCCACCCACTGCTATTTCCCTCTCGTTCGTATCTCACCTGCCGACCAAATACAAGATTATATTGAATGATCAATGATAACTGGACTCCACTAAACTAAATTAATTTGTTGATTATGGTGCTGAGAGAAGGTAATTTTGCTTAAAAACCAAAACTTTGAGTCGATGATTTCCCTCTCGTTCTTTATTCAACTTTGATTATGCTGGAGTAAACATCTTTCTGCGTCTTCTTCGTTCTCAGTTTATCGCACCTGAGAAAAAAAAAAGAAACCGATTTTTGTTGCTTTGAATGTGGAACTCGTCTAGAGTTTATTATTTACGAAGGATATAGGAGGACTTTTGGTGGTGGAGTAGCAGCAGCCGCACAGGTGGTGATGGCAGTGATTTGGAACAACGATTGGGGTGGCAGGAGGACACTCTGTTAGTCTTCTAATGCCCTATTCTTGCTTCCTTTGACTGTATTCACTGAAGGGAGTGTGGAGAAGGTCACTAAGTAGCTTAGGGGTGGGCAGGGACATGATCCCCCTGATAGCTGTTGTGATCCATTGAAATCAGTGATAAAATCCAATCCAGAGTGCTTGTGTAGTATGATAAGTAATCAAGGTACTAAAAATGCTGAGAATATTAGTATCAATGTCACCAAGGCCCAAGAATTACCAGTAAGATGTGGTCAATGTGTCAACCCGATCTCATGCATCACCTCCACCTCTAAGACTACTCCAGGTATCACTATAGGATTGATCATACATTCCCCGACCTTTTTCTATCTTTCTTCTTTCTCTTCAGAAAAGTTATAATCTTCATGTGTGTTTCAGGTACAAGTGATTCCCAAAGCTTAGGAAATTCCATGGTCTACTTATTGTACCCATTGATGCTAATCACAATTGTATATTCTTGATCCATTTTTTTTATTGCATTATTAAACTTAATGTACACAGGAGGTGGCGTAAGGCAGTAGGAGGCTGCCTCGGTGGCCTTCTGCTTCTTCTTTCATGCTTAAAATTGCTAGTGAAAACAAATGGGATGACGGAGAGAGTTTTGGTGATCAAAAACAACAACAACAAAGGGTTAGGGATATGCTCTCCGGTGGTAGCAGTGAAGGTTGGGGTGGTGGTAGTTTGGTGGCAGCAAGGTGGATGCCACCTCTTCCTTCCCTTTTCTAGGCAGAAACAGATGAGAGGGAGATGTGAGGTGGTGTTTGGGGTGATATTTTTGATCAGAAGAGGGAGGTATAAGGGTGGTTTTGGGTGGTGGGTTATGGTGGTTTCTTGGTTGGAGAGAGAGAGAGAGAGAGAGAGAGAGAGAGAGAGAGAGAGAGAGAGAGAGAGAGAAAGGGAGGGAGAGAGAGAAATGCCCTTCACTTAACCGCCAAAAGGTAATGGAGTTAGTGGAAAGGACCATTTGTTAAAAGTTTTGAAACCACATGGACGATCCGTGAGGTTTTTTGAACTTAGGGACTAAGCTTGATATTTTCGGAAACCACAGGGACCATTTATGAAGTTTTCTATATATATATATATATATATATATATATATATATATATATATATATATATAAGATTAAAAAGGCTTAGGACTAATAACTCATTATGGGTCATTTTCCTTGTTTGGATGTTGGCTTATAGTATCTGTTATTTGTACGAATTTTGTTTAAATTTTACTTATATAATTGTATATATATGTATATATAAAAGTTATTTCATTTAGTTTAGATACCCTTTGTAACATGTTGAGCAAGGGGTTACATTCAATAATAGTTAATACCAATTCAGAAGTAAATACAAATTACAATAGGTATAATTCATGATATATAGATCATTAATTTATGATCCAAGTATACTAGAATACATCGTTTTACAAGAAACAAAGGTTTGATTTAAAAACTAATCAAGGATATACAACTTTCAAATACATGAATATACACTCAATCATTATTTCACGATGAATGGGTTTTCATAACTATTATACATGTAACATTTATATGCTTTTTATGAGTCATCCAATTCAGGTAGTTTAATTCATTTAACCAACATAGTTAAAGTCTTGATATTATAACTAGAATCTCTAATCAGGGGATCGAAACAAGGTTTGTGTAGAACAATATTGGGATTGACAACCTTGCACTCAAGCTACTATCTACAATCAGGTAGACATGCCAATGACTGACAATTCTTATCAATAGTTTAAACACCTACAAAGCATTTGTTTTAGGCCATCTAGTCTCGGTATTGTCATGATAACTCATTAAAAGATATTAACAATGCGTTAGTGTATAATCAACTAAACATAAGTACATTTTGAAAGTAATAGTTTACAAAATACAAACTACAGTAGTACATTAACAGCTGGTAGAACCAGGCACACTCACACTTACAGGTTTTACATAAAGGAATACAAATACAGAACATTGGTTTACAAATAAGAACGGTTCTACGAGATTAAAACTACTTTTCATATACAGCAGAAAATATAGGACTTTCTGGAACAGCTTACAGATTCATGGAACAGAAAACATACTTTTACACATAAATACATATGCACTCACTCAACTTTATGTTCATACACTCTTTTCAAATTACTTGTATTCTCAAGGAAACAATAAACAGGTACTCCCCGAGCTTTTTGAGAATATGGAGCTATTTTGAGTCATATCTTCTTCTTATGTATAACTATTTTGGTTTCAATATACAATGATTGAACACATGTAAATACTTATACTTTTAAATACAATGGTTATTTGTACTTTGATTACTATGATGCATGTGTTGTAATACTACAAATGAAGTCCTCCACCCCCGGACGTTTCCGCCGTCTGGTTTGGGGGTATGACAGATTGGTATCAGAGCATTGTTTATATTGAATGTAGTATATCAATCCATAAGAGATATAACATCGGGGTTGAGAGCTCTGACTATAAGAAGTGTTTTTAAAAATTTAAATATTTTTACAAGAAGTATAGTAATACTCATACCTACAAGTACAGTATCACAATCATAAGAACTTAAAAGTATTTGGATATTGAACAATATAGTCAAACCTGGGCAATTATGTAATCATATATGGGATTAATAAAGCCTGATCAACTATATTGATTTGGGATATGACCAACATTTGTTTTGGAGTGATAGTAGTGTTGTGACATGTCTAAAACTTACCAACCATACATATTCAGAAGAACTATAGGACCAAACATAAAGATTGAAATACTCTAGGAGTATTTTACTATTCTTATCCTTACTTCTACTACAGACAATATGGGTGAATACAGTTTAGCTGGAGACCCCTACAATCAACAAGATCCAGATTTAGATGAGGAACCTTTCAAAGATAGTGAATCTAGTGGTACCGATACGAAACCACAAGTCTATAATCCAGGGGAATGTTCCCTTAGACAAGATGAAGCAGAACCTATACCACAATAGGGCGAGTATACAAACCACTACAGTCAGCAAGATGGCCAACGCCCTCCTTACGGGATGGTAAGAGGTTTTTGTAATGTCTCTCGAGGAGGAACAACCGATAGAGCTCTGTCGGTTATAGTAAATTGAATAGCCCGTTAAGCCGATCAAACAAGGATTTCGATCAATCGAATCCTACAAGTAAATACGGTTTCACAGGTCAACACTTCAGATATCCTTCGTCTTGATGAAATGCAGGACGACACCCAACATCATACAGAAGCCCTTCAAAGTCAATTCAATGCTGCTCAATCTGAGATAAGAGAATTGAGAGGGCATCAAGCTGCACAAGAAAGGCGCTAGAAAGCACAAGATGAAGCAGGACCCAGCAATCATCGTAGCAACCGCCGCAAGTAGTGTTTACACTAGTTCTACTTAATATTTATATATATCGAATATATATACTACTTTTCACGATATTCAAAAACCGTATATCAATAAAATAATAAGCACTTAACTTCAACAAGAGTTATTACAATTTTCATAAACAATCCTACCTCAAAGTTTTGGTTATAAATCTACATATATGTTCTAATGTTATTTTTCATGTTTTTGAATACAACCACGAAAATTTTATTTTTGGTAGGTTGGTTTGATGTCGATGGTTTCTCAGTATTGTGGTATATTATAGACCTGCTTTAAGGTCAACTTTTCTAGATTACATATACTTAATATACCAATACAATCGACATATATTTTCATGCTCTTTGAAAAATAAAGACTCAATATTACTCTGTTGCGAGTTGTACTTGCATTGGACTTCTATTTCCAATTCTTTACAAAATCCATATTGAATTAAGTGTTTAGTTCAGAGATATGAAATTCATATTCATTCTTGATATCTTACCATCTTTTTATATTTTTAACTTTTATAAAAAAGATGCCTCCTCGTAGAAATCCAAGATGTAACAATGTTAATGAAGCACCGACGCCACCTCCACCACCACCTCATCAATTCGATGCTACTATGTTTCAAGCAGCGGTCACGACAGTTGTAGCGGCTTCCATGTCTCATATCAATACTCCTTGTGATAGTAGGTCGGGAACTGGTGCACATCCTTCTAATCATGGCGAGAGTCATGAGCACTCATGAGAGTGCACTTATAAAGACTTCTCGAATGCCAAACCCAGGACCTTTAATGGAACTAGAGGAGTGATGGTTTTAAGGCAATAGATTGAGTAGATAGAAGCAATCATTGAAATTTGCTCCTGTCCAGAGGGTAGCAAAGTTAAATTTGTTGCTTGTACTTTTTTAGATAGGGCCCTAACATGGTGGAACAGCCATGTTAAGTCAGTAACTTTGATAGTGGCTATTACTATAAGTTGGGAGAACTTAAAAACCATGTTGATGCAGGAATATTGTCTGCGAGGGGAAATTCGAAAACTTGAGCAAGAGCTCTGGGGTCTCCCCATGGTCAGTGCAGACATAACAACTTAGACGAATTGATTTTGTGACTTAGCGATTCTGTGTCCAGAAATGGTTGCTCTAGAGAGAAGAATATTGAAAGGTATATTTGGGGATCGTCTTCCCAAATACAGGCAAGTGTCATTGCTTCTAGGCCTGTCACCTTTGATAGTGCCAAGGAGGTGGCACAGTCACTTATTGACCATGGAAATGGACAAAACTCTGTGGTTGCTACCCCAGAACAACCTAAAGAAAACCACAACAACAACAACAACAAGGTTTGGAACAAGCGAAAGGGAAAATCTCCTTTGGAACCTTCAAAGAAGGAACAAGTAGTGGCAATCCATGCCACTACTGTACCTACTACGATACCTGCTACTGTACCTGTTGATGTCCCTAATAACCCTGCACAAACTAATCCCTATGCTGGTACCCTCCGTAAATGAAACAAGTGCAATTTTCACCACAATGGAAATTGCCGAGAAATGCAGTGATATAACTGCAACAAGAAAGGGCATACTGCCCAATTCTGTAGAACACCACCCTAACCGATTAACCAAGTAACTGCCGTTGGAGAAGGTCAAGCATGCTACCAGTGCAGTGATGTGGGGCATTTCAAGAGAGATTGTCAAAAAGATGGAAATACTGGTGGAGTTAGGAGGATTCTAGCACTGGGTCACGAAGAAGCAATGACAGACCCTACGGTGGTCACGGGTACGTTCCTTCTCAAAAATACGTATGCATCCATTCTATTTGATTGTGGTGTTGAGAGGAGCTTCGTGAGGCATAATTATAAACATCTACTAAATCAAAACTCCCAACCACTAAATGAAACTTTCGCAGTCTAGATGGCTAACCGGAAATCTGTATCCACCAACGATATAAACATAGGATGTACTCTTACCTTCAATGACTTGTCTTTCCCAATAGACCTTGTATCAGTCTGTATCAAAAGTTTTTATGTCAAAATAGGAACGGATTTGTTGTGCCCTAACCATGCCGACATCCTATGCTATGAAAGAGCTATTCGCTTAAACTTTCCAACTAATGAAACTCTTATTATTTACAGCGACAAACCCAAAATGAACTGTCAGATAATTTCATGCTAAAGGCACAAAAATACCATCGCAAGGAGTACAAGTGAAGGACATCGCAAGCTTCCTGAGGTCTGCAACTTTTTCGATATATTTCCTGATGATCTTCTAGGAGTGCCTCCCGAACGACAAGTCGAATTCAGAATCGAATTAATCCCTAGATCTATTCATGTAGCTAAATCCCCCTTTCCTCTTGCACCTTCTAAAATGCAGGAATTATCTAGCCAAATTAACAAAATCCTAAGCAAAGGTTTCATAAGACCAAGTTTCTCACCTTGGGGAGCACTGGTTTTCTTGGTAAAGAAGAAGGATGGATCATTGCACATGTGCATAGACTACCGCGAACTGAATAAAGTTACTATCAAGAATCGATATCCTCTGCCTCACATTGACGATCTGTTCGAGCAACTTCAAGGTGTGAACTACTTCTTAAAAATAGACTTAAGATCCGGGTATCACCAGTTACGAATTTTGGAAGAAGACATTCCCAAAACAGCATACATATTTCGTTATGGTCATTACGAGTTTATAGTGATGCCATTCGGATTGACAAATGCACCTGCTATGTTCATTGACCTAATGAACAGAGTGTGTCATCCATTCCTGGACAAATTCATCATAGTCTTCATTGACGACATCCTTATCTACTCAAGAAGCGAAGAGGAACATGGCCAACATCTTATTCAAGTAATACAAACTCTTAGAACAGAAAAACTCTATGCGAAGTTCTAAAAGTGCATGTTTTGGATCAGGAAGGTTGATTTCCTCGGTCATGTGGTCAGTTAAGAAGGAATACACATCGACCCTTCCAAAATAAAGGCAATTGAAAACTGTTCAGCACCCAAAAGACCAACAAAATTCATCAATTCTTAGGTCTTACTGGCTATTATCATAGATTCATCTAGAATTTCTCTCAAATAGCTTAGCCTCTTACCACCCTGACGCAAAATGGTGTAACCTTTAGATGGGGAGAAAAGTAAGAAACAACGTTCCAAATGCTAAATCGAGCTTTTGTAGTGCACCAATCCTGTCTCTTCCTGAAGGGACAGAGGATTTCGTAGTGTACTGTGATGCTTCTAATAAAGGGCTTGGATGTGTTCTTATGCAAAGAGGAACGGTTATATCCTATGCCTCAAGACAGCTAAAGACACATGAAGGCAACTATATAACACATGACCTTGAACTAGGAGCATTGGTATTTGCTTTGAAGACCTGGAGACATTAGTTACATGGCATGAAATGCACAATATTCACGGACTATAAAAGTCTCCAGCACATCTTCGATTAGAAAGAGTTGAACATGAGACAACAACATTGGGTGGAGCTACTAAATGATTACAAATGTTAAATTCTCTATCACGCTGGTAAAGCAAACATAGTAGCTGACGCCCTTAGTAGGAAATAATACTCAGGATGTCGGGTAAAGTTGTTGACCATGACAATCCATTCACATCTGTCCGCACAGATCAAAGAAGCCCAACTTGAAGCCTTGAAACCGAAAAATGTGGCAGGTGAAACCTTGAGAGGAATGGATAAGAACTCCGAAGTCAGGGATGATGGAGCCTATTATTTCATGAACCGGATCTGGACACTAAAGTTAGGTGGTTACAGAGACGTGGTTATGAATGAAGCATACAAAACCCAATACTCCATCCACCCAGGTTCATACAAGATGTATTTGGACCTCAAGAAACTATACAGGTGGCCTTAAATGAAGGCCTAAATCACTACCTTTGTGGGCAAGTGCCTTACTTGTGCCAAATTCAAGGTAGAGTACCAGAAACCTTCAGGTTTATTACAACAACCTGAAATCCCTAAATGGAAGTGGGAGCAGATTACAATGGATTTCATAACTAAGTTACCCAAGGCACCTAGTGGTTATGATATCATTTGGGTAATCGTCGATAGATTAACCAACTCCATACACTTCTTGCCAATAAAAGAAACCGACAAGATGGAGAAACTAACAAGAACTTACCTCAAGGAGATTGTTAGACTGCATGGTGTTCCAATATCTATTATTTTTTATTGAGATAGTACATTCACTTCTCCTTTATGGCAATCATTACAAAACTCTCTGGGAACTAGGGTAGACATGAGTACAGCCTACCATCCACAAACCGATGGACAAAGTGAGAGGACGATTCAAACATTAGAAGACATGTTGCGAGCTTGCATGCTAGACTTTGGAAAGGCATGGGATACTCATTTACCCTTTGTCGAATTCTCTTATAACAACAGTTATCACACTAGCATAAAGGTTGCTCCATTCAAAGGTCTCTATGGCCGCAATTGCAGATCACCTTTGTGATGGGATGAAGTGGGTGACACGTAGCTAGCTAGAGGTCAAACTCTTGATAGTGCTCTCACTAGTTCGGAAATTATTCAAGAAACTACAAATAAAATCGTAAACATTTGGGAGCGACTTAAAGCTTCCAGAGAAACACAAAAAAGCTAATCTGACA